TATTAACATGATTATCTCTATAAACCTTTTTAATTTGTTCAAAAAATAAGTTGCAAATAAATTTTGTGTAACTAGGCAATATAAAATTAACAATAATTTTCTCATACCAATTTAATGAATATAACTATAACCAAAACCAAAGTGATAAATTATTCTTGTTTTGCCTGCTACAGTTATCACAAGTAATCCTTAATTTTTTTGCTTTTTTAGGATTTATTTTTTAAAGAAAACTATAAATCATATTTAATATAGTATTAGCACTCTTTGAAACCCTCTTAGGAAGTTCATTTTTACTAATTAAAAAATTCAGTTGATAATTTTGCTCGCCAGTTTTACAAATGCCAAAAATATTCACAGAAAAAGTAGATTTAAAATAAAGTGAACCTACTTGTTATAGCAAATACAGTATAGAGATACTTTGCACCCAATCGTAACAAATATGTTCAATATCTAAATTATTTTTACTTTCTTTAACATTATTATTATAATGTTGTCTTTCAAAATCTGTAGCTTTCTTATATTCATCATATTCAACTTGAACTTTACTATATTCATCAATATCTTGTTTTGCAACTAATAATTTAGTCTTAAAAAATGTACAAACTTCATATAGATCACTTGCATATGGCCGAAATCAAAGATTTGGAATTATTTCGTGCTATAATTTCCTAAAAATAAAATAAGAAACTATTTTTTTGATTGGTTATGAGTAAGATAAAAACTTTTTTTAAATTTATTATAAACTAAGACATAGATTCAACTAGTTGAAAGATAAATAAAAATGTCAGAATTGTCTTGATGCTGTAATGGAGAAGGAAATTCATGAATTGTCCTATATTGTATTAAAAACTGCTTAATTGAAAATATTATATTAAAATCTAAAAAAACTCTTGATTCTGGTTTGGATACATATTCTGTATTTCTATAAACACATTCAGTTAACCTGTTTAATTATAAATGGCTTTGTAAAGTAAAAAGTAAGTAACTATTAATTCTATATAATTTTAAATATGTTGGCTTACAAAGAGATAAAGAATTATTATAATTAAACTTATATGTGTGTTTTATAGAAGTTTTATTATTTGATTTTTCATCAGTAATTGCAAATGACATTAATTGTAACTTTATAAAAAGTTCAAGTTCATGTTCTTCTAAAGCTTTTAACTCAAAATTTCTTTCAAAAAAATGTTTAAATCCTACTTTTTTAAAGCAAGTTCTAAGATCACTTTGTTTTGAAGTTTGACAGCAAGTACAATTATTAGAATTCTTAAAAAATAATTTTAAATCATGAATAGTATTAAGAACTAGTTCATTTTCTTCATAATCATCTAATTCTAATTCAACCAAATTATAAACAGGTCTTAAAATATTAATAGTTGATTAATGTGATATTTTTTTTTTTAAAAAAAAATAAATACAGTACAGGATTTTTTAAAAAATAAACTGCAGATATGTAAGAATATTAAACAGAAGCCAACTAAAAATAATTTGAGTACATAGTGAATACTTAAATATTTAAAGATTATAATCACTATTAGTAAGTTAATATAAATATATCATACAAGATGGAGCACTAAAAGCTTGAATTAATATATATATACACAATGTATATAGGTATACATAATAACTTAACAATGATACTTTGTATATTATTATTATTGGGAGAGCAGATTATACAAGTGCATGAGAGTAAAAACCAATCATAAATTTTATTTCCTAATTTCCACTTTCACATATAGGATGCCAAACCTTTTTTTTTTTTTTTTGAATTCCTACTGCCTGGTCGCTAGTGGGCTGCAGTTGGCAGCTATTTTATTAGTTCAATTTTTAAGTTCATGGGACCTTCTATCAGGACCCCGCCTACATTTTACATTTTATTTATACATTTTACAATACTATCTATGTACTAATTATTTGTGTTCCTATTACCCCAGAATTTCACCGGGACTATTCCTAATCGGAGATTCCTTTGTTCTATTATTATCCTCAGCCTCCTAATCATCGCGGCCTTCTTATGTCAGGTCCGTCACTATTTAAGGATCTGGGTACTGAAGATCTTCCTATTTTCATAGAGCATCACCTGCTGTGGTTAATCAACAATCGTAGTCCTAACTCAGTTTTTCATCCCCCGTTGGACTTGAACTGGCAACCTTGCGATTGGTAACCTGGGAGCGTAACCACTTCGCTATCGACCTACAGGTTGACCTTTTCTTTTGTTTATGAGTTGTCTGCAAAATTTTAAAGTAACAGGATTATTATTGGAAATTAGGTTATTATAGATTTCTGAAAAAACTACAACTGTTTATAAGTAGATAAGAACATCTTTAAAACAACATGCATGTTATTTATATGCATTACTTCATGCTTCATACTGTAATAACAATATTATATTTGTCTATATATACATACATATATAAGTACTAACTTAGAAATGCAATAAACCTAATTTAGACTGTTTTAAATACCACCTTCAATAAAAAAAACAAAATGATCTAAGTACTCTATTTAAAGTTACAAAATTTTTTCATAGAATTATTCTATTTGCTAAAATTTTAAATTCACATTTTATTGAAAGAAATTGTTATGTATAGAAATTGTTTCAATGCTTGAAAACATTTTCAGAGTTTACTTCTAAGTTAATGTGCACATTAATACTATATATTGTAAAAGTCAAGATTAACTTTTCTGAGGATATTGTGATAACCTGATATTCAGGTAATTTTTAGATAGTTAGAATTTATAGTATTTTACTGAGATTAAAAATATAAAGGAAGTAGTTTTTTCTTCAAAAAAAATAAATAAATAAATATATAAATAAATAACTTTTAAAATCTAAACTTCGAAGCCTAATAAAGTAGTTTAAACAGTGCTTTTCCACTTTATAAAACTGTTGTATTTTTTGTATCTGTGAGTCATTACAGTAATTCTTAAAATAAGAAAAAATCATCTTTTAGATTAAAGTCAACTGATCATCTGATTGCATTAGCTTTATTACTATTGAATAATAATTAATTTATATAATGATGCCTCATATTGTCATTTTCAAGGCAAATTTTTAGTAATACAAAATTAAAATAATTGAATAATAATAAAATATTTATCTATTATGTCAATCATTTCTATTCTATTTTTAGATCTTTAAAAAATTTTTCTGCCAAATTTGGTCTAAAGATCCAGACTTCAATTATTCATTTTAATATTATGTTAACAGGTTATAAAATGTATACAAAATAATCTTTGCATTTCATAAATTAATATTTAACAAAAATTTTATTTTTGGTTTGGGGGACTCTGAAACCCTATTTTCAAGGCAAAGACCTCATATTACTAAAAAAATTATTAATAAAAACCAAAAGACTAAAGAAATTATCTTAATATCAAAAAAACTTAATATATAACCTATATTAAAAATTATTTGGAGAATATAACAACTTAGTGAAATAAATAAGTTGTTAACCTTTTAAATGATAGGTTATAAGTTCAAAATCTACTGATAGCAAATAATTTAGATAATTATCTATGTAATATATAAATAAGATTATGATAATAGCATTCTGTTAATCAGTTGAGATAAGATACCAATAACTATAGTCATACTAGTATAACTAGCAGGTCACAGAGTATTTGTATAACCTTGATTATATAGAGAGATGCAAACTGGTACTAGATAATGCAAATTTAAGATAAGTTCTTATAATTGTATAAATCTATAAAACTAGAAAATTAGAACCTATTTAAAAATACTAAATAAAAAGATAGTACAAATCTTTGATAATATTAATATAAAAATCAGACTTAGAAAACAGATATCAATATAAAGAAATTGGAAAGGCAAGAATCTTGGACAAAGAATACTATCAACTAGACCATCAAATTTTGAACTAGAAGAAAAAAATATTAAGTCAATCTCGATATATCAAAAACAGATTACAGTTCTTTTAAACTATCTAAATTGAAAGTCTAAAAACAAAAGTAAGAATATATTAAAAGTACTAAGGATATGCTATAAAATCAGTACTGGGGTCTAGGTGAACTTTGCAAGGGTAACCCTTGTTAATATTTTGTAAAATGAGTAAATAGTTAACAAGTAAATCTTTTTGTATTTTACTAATAAATATTATATTCTAAAATATATAATGATCTAAGAATAAATATAAAAAAAGTAGATACTATACTACTCAGATGGTATATTGATTAGGTATATACGAGAGGTTAGTTGGAATTATATCATAATAGGATGGATAATCAAAAGGTTTAAATAAATAATCTCCTAATAGATTATAAATATAACATCTAATATAAAACCTTAGAACAAACTACTTAAATAGACAACCAAAAGTTGTATGTGTAACTAGTTGTACTCTCATCTTTGTATAAAATAGTTATAATAACTAACCCAATAAAAGTCAATAAAGTATTATCACAAAGTATAACCTTTAATACAAAAAAACAATTTATTTGAATTTAGCAAAAACTTAATTTTTATTTTTTACTTTTTTTACTGCAAAGACCTTATTTTTAATTAAAATTTATTTTAAAACAATTTTAGTATTTACTTGACCAAACTTTATGAAATTATTTTGAGAATAGTCAAAATATCTTTATTCAAAGTTATAAAAAACCTATTTTTATAAATCAAATATACAGTTGGTTTGCTTATAATCGACAGTAACTTTTTTACGCCGATCCAGGGGTAGTTCGGGAAATACGGTGTAACCACGTGACAGGGTTTTTTATCATCCCCATAATTCTACCCTTTACGTAAGTTTGGTTCAAAATTTAACTCAGCCGGGGTTATAATTTTTTTTTCGTGTAGCTTTAAATCTATTAAAAGAAAATATCGATATTGTTGATTACAAATAAATTTGTGTGGCTGTTGATAACCAATCTGTCGTAACCACTCGCGACGCAGCAATCGTGTGCATATTTGAGCGTATCAAAAAAATTTATATTGTTTAGATTTCGTTACCTTTCAGATTTCCACACAAACTTTATTCAATATGAGTGGTAGAAGGAGAGCCGATTCACTTAAGGGTTTGTCGCTCCCAAAATATAGCCGACCTCAAACAGAGGAAGAGATGGCTTCAATGCATAATTATAGGGACAGGTAATAAAGATATTGCGTTTGAATAACTAACACAAATTAGCTATTAAACCAGTCTTTATTTGTAGTGGCATCCTTCTTCTCTCTTTGACTCAATCTCGACAAGCTTGGACAAGTTCTATTTTAAAAAAGTTCTCTAGCAAGCAAGAAGTTATTTATCAACCCAAATTACCAGAATATACAAATCCAAATGCGGTTGTTTCACTATTGGGAAAGTGTCATATTACTATAGGACCACACACTTTTTACGATACTAAAATTTATGAGGCCGTATACGAAAAGGAAATGCCAAGTCCAGATGTTCAGGCTGGAAGTTTTCAAACCCAACCAGCACAACTGGGATCGCTCCAATCTCCTGCACAACAGCAAACACAATCAAGCACACAAAGCTTAACACAATCATCACAATCGGTTATACAGACTCCGTTACAACAACCATTACCTGCAACTCTTACACAACAATCGTCTCAGGCGAAAACGCCGCCAGCTTCATCGACACAAACATTTCCTAGACCAATACATCCTGCTATACAACCAAGGCCACCGACACAAACACAAGTACCGATTCAACCACGAGTTACTTTACCAAGGATATCTGCACGCCCTGTTACTAATATACAGACCGCTTCAGCTTTGCCTATAAATAGTTCTAGTACAAATACGAATGGGAATATCCCATCATCTTCTACAAATACAAATGCAATCGCTACATCTTCTATGCAAACGAATGCAAATATCACACCTTCATCTGCAAATACAAGCGCTACATCCTCGTCTACAAACGCGAATACTAGTACACCAAAAGTTCCACCACAAGCTACGCCACAACTAACTGCGTTTATGCAAACAGTACTTCAATCGGTTAACCCAACACAGATATTGGCTATTCAAGAACATTTGCGCCATCCACAAGTGGCGGCCCATATGTCTATCGAGCAAAAAAATGCATTAATTAGTCAATTAACGATAATCCATCAGTTGTTAACATCAACACAATTAGCACAACAAAAAACTCAACAGCAATCGGTTCATTCACGAACACAGTCTCCTGCAATGAGAATTAGACAAGTTGTTAGGCATGAAGTTCTGTTAGAGTTTAAGGAAACCAAAAATGATAAATGGTTGTTTCCAAAAGATGCAATATTAGAAGCATTGTCAATGTCAGAACCTTACGATGTAAGGGTCACTTATGTTTTTTCAAGCTTTAAGTAAACATAACTAATTATTAGGACTTACAAGAAAATTCCTTATCAAGGTACTTGCTTCATTTTATCTTCCTCAAAACGAAGAAACATCAGGTTCTAAGCAGCAACATCAACCTGTCACGATGCACATGACTAACATAACGCAACCGATGTTGGACGCGTTAAAAAAAGCAACGAATGATGTAACTACTGTCTTCAAAGCAATGGCTGCAAAGGTAAGAAGATTTTATAGAATTTAATACTTTATATGAGTATTTAAAACGCATGTTTAATAATAATCGATCTTAGGTGAACAAGCAACCTAATCGTGTTTATTTACAATACCGCTTGCCTTGCGATTATCCAGAAGATTTACTAGAGGTAAATTTAATATTTAATATATTCCATTGATATATATTTTTAATGAAACTGCTATAACTTTTGATAAATTAATTACAGGCGATTGGACAAAAAGTTGCTAAATTGGACGGAACTACGAACACTGACAATATAACTCCGCCAAAGAAACGTAAGCTTGATAAAGAGAAAGATACTGATATAGAAGTAGACATAGAAGATGTAAAAGATGGTGAAATAGATATCATGGATTATGTAAGGAATTCGCAACTTTAATGATCGTATGTTTAGTGAAATCATATTTTTAAATCGAATGTTTATAACTCAGAAGGTTGAGACTACGAATAAAAAGCAAAAACCTAGAAATGGGGAAGGTAGCAAAGCGACATCAAGAGCACCAACCTCCGCTCAAAAAAGGGCCAAAACAGTACCTGATGTTTCAGTTTCTGTAGCACCTGTTCCAACTTCTGGATCTAGTGGAGGTAACAAACGTTGTGCTTATTGCTTTTGTAAGAGTACTCCTATGTGGAGAAGAGGTCCGGATGGTGCTGGTAAGTAGTTATGTGCTATATAGTACGGAAAAATAAGCCCAAAAATTTAAGGATGGTTTAAATTCAGTATAATGCGTGCACATGTGCTAACTCCTATGATAATTCTTTAAAAATTTTTGGTACTTATTTCTGATAATATATAAATTTCAAATATATATGTTTTAGGGACTCTTTGCAATGCCTGTGGTGTGAAATGGAAACAAGGAAAGATATTACAGGGTACTAGCGCAAACCGTGCTACTGAAGTCAATGGCGACTCCGCGACGGTTGCACCAAGCCCTAAATCTAGGAAATATTCATTGTCTGCAGCATGCACTTCTGCTACTGCAACTACAACATCAAAAGTTAAAAAGAAGTCTGGACGATCACTTTCAATAAGTGAAGGTGCGTTATCACTTACTGATGATGATGAAAACCGTGATAAGAATCTTGGCAATATTGGAGAAAATTTAAACACAGAGTCACAAAAGAGTGGTAGTGGTAGAAGGGCATCTGCATCATCAAAGAAAAATAGTTCCAAAGGTTAATGTTTGTCAATATTTTTGGTGATGTGCAATATTATAGTTTTTTAAATCGATTGTGAAAGGACTTTATTTGGATATATTCCGATAAGTTCCATTATTATTATAATTACAATGAAACTGTGATAGCTGAGCCTAATCTATCCGTTTTGTAATCAGCAACAACTACCACAGTCTTTGGTGGTGAGATTGCAGCCTCTCCAGGCAAATGTCTTTTTTTTCTTATATGAATTAGTGTTGATAAAATATTAATAAATATGAATGTTTAATTAATAAATATCAACGGAATTATTATGCCATATCACATAATAGACCCAGAATCCTCCGACATTGTATCCAGTCCATCACGATCGCCACAATACCCATCTGCATCTACTGCAATGGGAGGGGTAGGGATGCCAACATCTCGCGCTTCTACTACAGCATCTACAACAAATTCTCCAACCATATTAGGTGGTGGCGGATTTCCAATAAATTTGAAATTAAATTCAATCTCGTTTGGCTCATCGGAAAATAATTTGATCGGAGGAAATAATAATAACAGTAATCAACAAGGCGGAAATTATTATTTCTCTCAACCTAACTGCAGCGCACAAGTTTTTGAGGATTGTTTAAAAATAAGATTGGAAAAAGATGGTTATGAAAAAACAAGTATTGATATTTGGAAAGAAAATATCAATTTTTTAAATTTTGAAAACGAAAGAGATCTGGCTACTGGAATTCCCTTACTTTCCGTTCAAGCATATGTTACTCAACATTTGAATAGGTAAAATATTTATTTTTTTTCATTAATGATAAGAATTTAAAGATTAATTATCATTATAATTTTATTAGGTTCGATCAAGAATTATTAAATCCTGAGCGTAATAATAAGCTAGTAACGTTCAAATTTATAAATTTGAATGTTAATTTTAGGCCAACTACAATGATTGAAAATGATGGAAATATCAATGATGTATTTAGAAGTGGCGAAAGTAGAGACCTTAAAACATTTTTAGAGAAATGGGTAGCTTCAGGAATTAATATTACAAAGTAATATTACTTTATGGATGATAATCTCATGTAAGTAGTGTAAAAAAAAAAAAAAAGGAAAAAAATTATTGATTGTTCAGGTTAGGCTGGCTAATATTTTTAGGCTAGATTATTCCAGTATATATATACACATTTCCTCCAAAAAAATAAAAAAAAATTAAAAATGGAAGCAAATGATAGAATCAAGCCTCATGCTTAAGTATACGTATAAAGTATAGAGTGTACAATTCAGTAACAGTAGATCAAGAAATCATATAAAATTTTTAATATGGAATCAAATGATCGAAGCACCTAAATTTATATGCAAAATTTGCTTTCTAGACTTATTTGACAATAAAGAAATTATTGATTTAATTTCTGGCATTTGAAAGTATTGTGAAATTTAAGGGTGATTATAAATGTGGTTGCGAAGTTGGTCAATTTTTTTTTACGATTATCCCAAAGTAATAAGATCACGTTTATTGGATTTATTCGATTGATGTTTTCTTATCGTTATTACTTATTTTGGGGGTCTGTTAAAGCCAGGTACCTACATACTGCATAAATTGTATTCTTGTTATCTATATAACCCTAATTTGTACCTGGCTTTAATGTCCTCTTTATTTTGGGGAAGGAGATAAATCATGTGATCAATTTTAGGTTTGATTGGTTTGTATAAATAGATTGATCTTCTGATTGGGTCTGTGTCACTCGCTTTCCCAGTGGCACCGACAGATTTTCACCGATTGACCAATTAGATTACAAGATCAGGTGTAACGTGAAATCAAAAAAACCATCATAACTCAAAATTTTTGTTTATATAACCATCTTTTGTGCATTAGTAAAAAAAATTCTTTGCTAAATTTTAATATAAAATAAATATCATTATAATTATAAACCTAAGAAACATTTATAAAAGCAGTTGTTATCTTATTAAAAAAGATATTTATAGTAGCTAATAAGAAAAATAATGTAAGTAAGCAAATGGTAAAGTTTATTTATATGAAAGGTTAGAATAATGATAATTAGGCCTAATATACAAGACAGATTATTATACTTTTTACAATGTAAGAATTAAGTATATAGTAATCAATCTTATAAAAGACAATCTTATAAGATTATTTTTAATATTTTTTTTTTGATATTAAAGTAATCTTTTTGGTTTTTTTTTTTAATTCTTTGATAATCTTGTTAATATTTTTTATTAAAAGAATTACATATTTAATTATACAAATATTAGTTTAATTTTTAGATTTGACATTTTTTGGTTACTGTACTAGTGCTCAGAGATGGCCTGTTACATTAGTATAAGTTGTTATTTATTGCTAGAAGATTATTCAGACTAGCTTTTGAAACTATTTTAGTAAGGTTTTTTATTAATATTAATTAATTTTCTTATTGTATTCTTCTATAAGTCTTTTATTTTTTTTTTTTTTTTTCTAATTTTTTATTTTTTGATTTTAATATTAGAATTAATTTTTTTTTTTTTTTTTTTTTTTTTTTTTGGCGACAATGCCAGTTGGTTTTTATTAGCTTAATCTTTGATATAGTACAAATTTATGGTTACATTTTAGGATCG